TGGGAAAATCTCCAAACTAAAAATAGAAACATAAATAGAAACTATTAAAACATAACTCCGCCTTCCTGACTATAGGGCATACCCCAGGGCGGGGCAGTGAGATCATCACCCTTCCCAAATAATGGTCATTTAATGGGTTGCATTGTTCTCGTGTGGCTGCTACGGCATTCACCGCACTCCTTTGATGGGGGTCTTAAAGGAGAACTATGAGGGGGGTGTGCTTTTCCCTCAGCCTCATAGTTCTAGCCGGTTCCTCCAGCGCTGACTGGCGGAACTGACGGGGGGGCGTGTACAGCTGGCTCTGCCTCTGGATAGGCAGAGCCAGCTGTCACTCCCGCAGCTGGGTGGATCCAGACATAATTGTCGGTATCCGCTCCGGCGCCTCAGTATACCGCGAGCTGTAGCTCCCTATATACTGAGCTTAGGGTGACGGGAGGACGCTAGTTTGTGTCCTCCAGTTACCCTAAGGAGAACTATGGGGAAAAGCCCTGACCTCATAGTTCTCCTTTAAAGGCCGCGGCTGGTTCAGACTTTGTATCCTGTGACTTTTAATCTTAAACCTCAATGGGTGCCATTAGTTCTGCACTCAGCATTATGTAAAGTGTTGTGCAAACCGATGGAACCATATAAGTTATTATTATTATACAGGATTTATAGAGCGCCAACAGTTTGCGCAGCGCTGTACAATAAAAGGAAGACATTACAATCACAATATAATTCACGACAAGATGGCAAGTCCTGTATAATAATAACCAGGGGGTGTCCGCAGGGCCGGATTTCCATTTCAGAAGTCCGTAGGCACGGATGGAAATGCCCTTACCTGCTGCGGGACCTGCCGGCTATCACATATGCAGAGAAGGACCCCAGCGTTGCGTAAGGCTGCCCTAAACAGACTTAGGCAGAGTAGGTACCTGCAGAGAGCCCAGAGTGCCTGTAGGAACGTGCCTACCCTGCCTAATGGTACAGTAAATCGGGCCCTAGACTCCCGCCACCTGGCGGTGCAGGAGGAAACCTGGGGTGGGGGGTGGGAATGCGTGGTGGTGTGGATATTGGTATGCTGCATGGGGCTGGTGTTACCTCCGGATAGAGTTTGAGGTGAGACAGAGTCCGTCATGAGTCCATCACACCAAAGTTGGTCAAGGCAGAGTCCGTCAAGGCAGAGTCCGTCAAGGGGCAGAGTCCGTCATGGCAGAGTCAGTCATGGCAGAGTCAGTCATGGCAGGGTCCGTCATGGCAGGGTCCGTCATGGCAGAGTCCGTCATGGCAGAGTCCGTCATGGCAGAGTCCGTCATGGCAGAGTCCGTCAAGGCAGAGTCCGTCATGGCAGGGTCCGTCATGGCAGGGTCCGTCATGGCAGGGTCCGTCATGGCAGAGTCCGTCATGGCAGAGTCCGTCATGGCAGAGTCCGTCATGGCAGAGTCCGTCAAGGCAGAGTCCTTCTAACCCCAGTCCCATACCCCTTGTTGCCTCCAATGCTCCCATATACTAACATGTCTCTGTTCTCTGTGTTCCCTCCAGGAGAAAAGATGAAGAGTTGGGACCGGGACGTGTTCTTCTCCCCTCCCCCCCCATCCCCCCGGATTTCGTACAGAGGACACGGAGTTCTTCAAGAGACACTTTAAAACTTTTCCAGTATTTTCCACTCGGCTTATTTATGAAACTTTTCTGGACTTTTTTGGGGGGGTTTTTCTTTTTTTAATGTTGGGTGTAAATAATGGTCGCCCGTCTCGGTGAACGCGGCCTTTCTAGAGATCGGGAAAGCTGGACTATATTTATAAAAGTTAAGACAAAAAAATTGTACATTTTGATTTTTTGTTTTTGTTGCTGTTTTTGAACGTGCCAAGTTTTCTAGCGAGTACGACGTTTGCACTGCGACTTGTACAGAACGACGCGAAACGAGAAAAATAAAAAAAAATAAAAAGCACAAGGCTTCGCTGCATGCGGTCCCCTCCGAGACTGAGCGCTGGACACGGCCGGCAATGTACGTACGCGGAATGCAAATGGCGGGGGGACACTGCGGCGGAGGAGGAGGACGCGGTCCGGTACAGATTCACGCGGTCACATCAGCTTTCTCCGGGGACTGGTCATTACAAGGAGCTTCCGTT